CCCTTCTCCAAGCTCGATTAGCCCCGATGCTTGGCAGCATACGCCACCACTCCATCTGCATCCGATATCCATGAAAGGACCTCGCCTCGGCCCTAGATTTTAGCTTCTTCTCTCTCTGCATTAGCTTCGACTAGATCTCATCTAGGTTTAGCTCTTCGTCCCCAAGCTCCAAGACATCCACAAGAGTGGCATATTCCACCAGCAAACCCCAAAGGCGTGCACTGCCAACTCCCTCTCTGAGACGGTTTTTTTTGCCGCCTTCAAAACGAGCTTGAGCTTTCGAAATTCCTCTAGGTACTCTGCAATGGCTCTCCTTTGTCAACCTTAGACCCGTCGGCCCCCTCCGTAGCTGAATTACGGGCATTGCTCCTCGTCTCAAAGTTGTCCTCCAACTCCTTCCACGCTTTTGCTGCAGTGGGTTCAGCCTTGAACCTCACATATGCAACTTTCGTGTGGATCAGCATTAGCTTCCTTGCTGGGCTTGACATTTTTATTCTTCCACGGACTCCGGCTTTCTCTAATGCACACAGCCATCCCGTGTATGCTAGAAGCCCCCAAAATTTGGCGCGGCGTTGACCAGCTCTTCCACACTAATGCGGTCTGGACACTCTGTCCACCGCCATCACAACCGCACTCCTCCCCGAACACAAGGAAGTAAAAGTCTCCGCTCCTTTTCCTCACAGGCTCATTGGCGCGAGCGTTGTAATATCGCTCTTCAAACGACCAGATTTGAAACCTTGCGCCCTCCTCACAACCAAGCGTTGTGGGCCCACAATCTTTTGAAAGTTATGTAAGGAACTCGTAGTGTAGTTGAGCACTCGTCATCGGGTCTTATTGCATTGCCTAGCACCCATGCCTACCACTCATTGATGGCAGCTATGCATCCCAAGAGAAACACACGAAAAGCCTTACAAGCAGCTTCGCTTTCTCCAAAAACATCTTATGGAATGATGTATCACAATTGTTTCCACCACCATAACTCCTATGGGTGTTTCCCGTTCCACTAGGCGCACTAGCCTACGAGGGTCAGTAGCCTAATAAACACGTTACTAGGCTCGCTAGCCTAGCTCACAATCACCCTCAATCCTAGCCTTCGACAGATCCTTATCTACGGGTTACACTAACAGCTTTTGCAACCGCCTAATCTCTAAATCGCCTGACGATTTAAACGTCGAACCGCCGTACACGCACGCCGGCGCTTACTAGTTCAAACCCCTTTCAACTCATTATTTCGGCTGACCCAAATTACCGAATCCAACACACTACCAATGTAACCAATTTGTACCAATTTCTTAATCCGTCGATATTCTATCTAAGTGACTCAATTTGGTACACTCAAATTTCGGACCTTTCGTTATAGACCATCGATCCTCGATTCAACGGTCAATCTAGATTGAAACGATTTAAACCAAACCAAGACAAACCGAGACGCGTATCTTATCGTCGATATTGGCGATCAATCTTGATTCCGAACTCGTGACACGTGTTCTCGATCATCCAACAAAAACTCAAAGTAACCACGATCAACGGCTACAAATCCTAAAATTCTAGTGCGTCACTAGCCTGAAAGTTGCCCCGAACCAAACAATTTGGCCGTCAATTAACCTCCAATTCTAACACAAGGCTTGCCGGGCACGTTCGAGGAAACCTAGTGTCGGGTGTAGTCCTTGGCAACAATCGCACACGTCCACAATACCAGCTCAAGCCTGGCATCCTCTAGCAAAGCCCGCGCCGGAAACAGCGCTGGTCAAACGCGTCCGGTTCAACTGCTCCGCCGAACTGGTTTGTTTGAAAGAGTGACCCACCGTGGTCCACGGTACCGTCCGTCTCTGTCCAGGGAGGGCCGTCATTCCCCCTGTTGACGTACTTCCCCGCTTTGGCTCCTTTGCACCCCCATAACATCGGTCTTCCGTTTCATCCCTTGCACCACCAAAGGCTTGCTATAGTCGTCGAGGAAAGTTACGAAGTATCTTGTCCCCCCTTTGACATCACCGCACACGTTCATGTGCACGAGCTCAAAGGGCTCCATATGAACTGACATTCGAAAGGTCCAACTCATAAGAAAAAGCCTCCCGATTTTGCTTTATAGTGATGTGCACAAGGTCGCATTCCGAAGTCTTTTTCCCCCAAAACGCTTCGCATTTGACCCCCACATTTTAAACCAACTGTGAGACATCGACCATCTTGAATAAACTATCATAGCCGGCGTGCCCAACCTCCGATGCCGCAACACCTGACATTTAGCATTCCTCACAAGCTAGCACGTGTTTCTCTATGTTTTCCCACGTTGCATTGAATTGGCAAATCATTGACACGCTCTCTGCATTTTTCTCTGTCCGAAGCATGACTTTTCCGTCCATGAACAAGTCGCACACCTCCCACGGAACACACAATTTTCTTTCTTCTTCAAGAAGAGGTTCTCTGCCACACCGGAAACATAAGGGCCATCTCGCGCCCGGAAGTTGCAACACGGACCGACCACTTTTGACGATTCGCAACAAACACTTGGTTGTCGGTCATCAACTGCTGTAGGGAGCCTGCCTTTGCTTGCAAGACTCTGCATCATTTTATGTTACTGCGGTAAATTGCCATCATCATTACAGTCTGGGAGTTTTCTGATGTTGGCAGCAATATGCGCAACTTCTCATCACAGAGTTCAAAATCGTCCCGGGGAGCTTTTTAACTATGCGGCCTTTGTTATCCTGAAATAGCTGTATTGGCTGCTCGAAAAAGTGGTTCGTGACATTCAAGAGTTTTTCGCCACGGTGTCGGTTCGGCCAAAGCCAAAATTTGGCCGTCAGATGAAACATTGGACGGCGTGACTCTCAAATCGCGACACTACCAAATTTGCCAGGGACAGGTTATGCTATCAAACCAACGACGGGCGCCGCAATATGCGAATAGTTGATACATAAAAGTGCGTGCTCTAGCAACTTTATCACAATGCTGCACCTTCGTCCTAGAACGCCTGCAACCATGGGATCCGCACATGTGGCTACTTGTATCTTGTATATTAGCCATGCCAGCACTTCGCTTGAACTAGCCAACCGTCACAAATCTAGTAGCACCAAAGAGGGCGCCCTGCCTCTGTTTTCATGGCTCCTGCATAAGCGATTAGCTTTGGCATGAAATCTGGTCGCGTTGCCCTCCACATTGCGGATAAGCGTCACACCAAACCATGAGCTGTACGTTATGTGCACTTTGCACACCTCTCCGTGTGCATAACCTCGGCCCTACTAGGTAGTACCGGGGCCCGACCAAGGTGGCTTTTTCATTTCTAAAGAACGGAATTGTTACCGGCCACCTTGCGGAGAAGGTCAGGTGAAGGTCGGGTGAACCGCTTATCCTTTTGTGCGATCTCCCCTTGGCAATGTTGGTGTCCATCCGGTGCCAATACCGGCCACCTCCAGGAACCCCTTGTTCCCAAATCAGATTGCCCAACTCCCCCGCTCCATCTTCAAGGTTGACTCGGAACGAGCTCGTGATACGCAAGTTGGCTATCTCGACTCAGACACTCCACCTGCCAATATTCGCCCAAGCTTCCTTGTCTGCTTGAAAGGCAACCGGGCCTCAGCCTGGGCCCTCGGTTTGTCCTTTTCCTCGAGGCTCCCTCTTGAAGTGATCAACATGCTATTGCAATTGTAGCGCTTCTTCTCCTTCTTGAGCTTCTCAGGCCCAGGAGATCCCAAATGGCACTGGCATGGTCTCAAGGGGCCGAATTTATCATACTTTTCGTTTGCACAACTGCCAAACATGAGGGTCCACTGCATAAGATCCAATTTCGACTCCCTTAAGGGCCCTACCTTATGCATTGATTGAATATGTTATATTGCATAAACCATTTGGGCCAGTTGTAAGCCTGTCAACATGTAAAGTTTGTCACTCGCCCACCCAATACTAGCAACGAACACAATATTTGTTTCTCTTATGCAGTTAGAAGATCTTTTAAAATTCAATGCCTTCCAGTCAATACATCCACCTTTGCCTTGCATTCTCCTTTTGCGCCACCCTCTAGAATTTCGTGCAGATCAGTGATATAATTCATAGTGCTTCGACCAATATGAAGCAATCATTGGATAATTGAGGAGCGTATTGCCCTTAGTGATTCTCACAATAGATCTCGACTGTCTTCCAAAGTCCAAGGGGAGATATCCTCCGAGTATGCGGAACCACAGTGCCTTCTTCACAACTTGTGCCGCAATCAAGTACTTTGCCTTTATGGTCGATACAGGTGACATCGCCTATTGCGGGCTAGACGGCTCGACCAATCAACCGCCCCTCCAAACGTACTAGGAACATGGTACCCCGTCGCAGACACCCCTCATCAGTGTTGAAGTTCACTACAAAGCCTGCATCGCATAATGCCCTTAACATTCATGCTAGCTCACGCTTGTAATCAAAACATTTACCGGAACCTGCCTTTCACTATCCAATTTGTGACATAAGTGCGCGAATGCTTTCCAACAGGGATCGAATTACATAGTATCGCCCAATCCCTTGCCTTCTATAAGATTTTACTCTCCTCCTGCCGATTATGTGGCTTCTTGCATGAAGAGAAGTGTGACGTCGCGCCACGCTGTTCATTTATGCAGTGTTGTCCATTTGTGCATACTCCCAACCCTTGAGAGGTATGGTAGCAGGCTAAAATGTTGGAGCCTCAGTTTTGTACGAGGTAAGTTGCGCTCCTCATTGACCTGCTGACTTGATCACCTCTTGATCTGGACGACCGAAGCTGCATCAACATTGCGGACAAAGCTTGTATCCGCTTACATTATTTTCGGCGTGACCTGGAGGTGGGCCCGGGCTTGCGCCTACCACCCAAAAAGCAGACACTTGCCACTATCCATACGATTGTTCATTTATGATCTAGAACCCATGGATTCGATCGAAGTTATTTTACCAAACACTTCGAGTCGACGTACTCATTGTAGCCCCAATCTCACCATTGCGTTGCCCAAGGCTTAATTACGGGGCTCAAGGTTTATAACAACAAGTGACCATGTTGAATAGGCAAAAGAGCAACAAGCGCAAGCAAGCTTGCGAGTAGAATTCTTGTACGGATGTGCATGTCAATTGACGAAAAGTAACGAGGCCTCGTCGTAATGCTCATGACTTGGTAAGTGTGACTGTATACTCAAAGAATCACCTTCTAAATAGAGGCAACAATGATCTCTTTAAATCCTTCAATCACCTGGCCAAGCAGTAAGCTTGACTTACCGCTGTGCGAGCAATGGTGCTGCTCAATTGGAACAATAATAACGCTTTCCAACATCCTGAGAGAGCTACTCGGAGTCGGAGCTAGAAAACTCATAGTATTTCAGATCCTCGAACTCCTCCCCAATTTCCGTCCAATTGCGAGGCGCTACCCCCGTCTTGTCGAAGATAAAACGCTCCGCCTTCTTGAACACACCCGATCCGTCTAGGGCCTTATTCCAGATGCCACTAACAATGCTGTAGTTGCCCTCGAAAGGTGGCCGATGGTGCGCCCCATGTGCTTTTCTTGACACCAACACACCTGCATCCTGCAGCGCCAGCACCACTCCCGGCAGCTGGCCCTTCTTCATGTGCGCCCACGCATGGAACTGCTGGCTGCACGCCGCACAAAGCGCATCTACCTCAGTCCATCGGTAAGCGGAAACACCCAAGCAAGAGCAAATCACATCTGCTGCAGCCCCAAGCGAGAGCACTGGACAGGAAATGTGGTGCGGACGTTGCGCTATGTGGCAGAGCTCGATACAAATGAAGGACGAAGGCAGACAGAGCGGAGGGACACCACAAGAGACGGGATCATGATCTGCGTCAGCGCGTGGCAAGGGTGGCGGGCAGGGCGCCGACGCTGACCTGAAGACAACCCCGGTCATGAAGACAGCGAGGAAGCAGTGGCCGGGGGCACTGCTGGGGAGGAGCAGAAAGGGGGCAACAAAGAACGCTGCGGGGCGGCACAGTGCGTACAGGTTGTTGGCAAACTGGCGCTGGGTGATGGTCCAGGGCCGCCGATGGTGGCCTTGGAATGCATCGATCTGCGGAGGAGGCAAGCACCGCAGTGAGGCAGAGCATGCCTGGACGCCGCCAGTAGCTGGCCCACACAGGCCTCGCACCCCAGCCGGACGGTCTTCTCGCAGCAAGCATACCGGCAGGAAACAAGTTGGCGGTGACACATCCTCCCCTGTTGACCCGGTACCTTGGTACACAGCTAGTCAGGGAGAAAAGGTTGGGGAGATAGCTGTCACCGGACAGTACTGCCGGAGCAGGAGGGGGTCCCCTCACGGCCACCTTCGAAGCAGTAGCGGGCCTGTAGCTTTAGGGTGCTTTCAAACAACTTACGAACGATAGAACTGTTGAAACAAGATCTTCATGCCCTGATGACTTTTGTGGCCCCCTAATGCTCGCTGCTACTGGCAAAAAGTGATCAAACGTGACTCAAATCAGCGTCTCTTGGCTCAGAAGGGGTGCAGCTGCCCTAATTATGCCAGGCAAAGGGTGCCCTCTTTGGCCAGGCCTGCGGCAGACCAGACTGAACACCTCGCCGGCACCGCACGGCGCACAGAGCGGCGGGTCCTGCGCATGCTGTGTGGCCCTCACCTGCGAGCCAAAGATGGGCGTGGTGGCATCCCCGTAGTTGTCCACCCCCCAGTGGTACACCCCCGTGCCCAGGTCCGCCAGCAGGTACCCCGCCACCAGGGCCGCCGCCGCCAACGCCGCGTCATCCGCCCCATGAACTGCAGCGGCAAACAAGCAGCCAGTCAGAAGGGGCTCTTCTTGAATCCCATCGGTTCAGGGAGACGAAGCAGTTGGGGCAGAGGCTTAACCAGCGGGCGGACAAAGAGAAGCCAAGCAACAAAGTAGCCCCGGTCAATCTTCGGAATAAAGTGCCTTTGTATATCGGTAGGCCCACCTTTGGCATTCTGAGTAAAAGCCAGCTCCTTACATGAGACTTCCTCAGGCGTCAATGGGAGAAATATTGACAACGAGCGGCGTCCTTTGATTGCCCAGATCACAATCACAACAAGGGCGAACGGAGTGGCATCCCCATCCCCATCGACACTGTGGGCCAAAGTGGAAGCTTGACCTACTGACCAACATAGCAAGCTTTGCATGCCTGCCCGTGAGATACAACAGCTGGGGTTCTGAAGCAGGCGCCAAACTCCATGCACTGGACATTTCTGAGTTTTCAAGGCACCTAAGCGTCTCGCCTCAGCCTGTCGGCAAATAAGAACATGCTCAAGTCTAACCAACTTAAAAAAGTGCAGATCATCATCCACATTTCTCACTTCAGTGGTAGTGTTTCCAAGCAGAAGGCACAATGTTCACAACCAACTTGAGCACTCTGCCGGTCAGACTTGAGGGGCTGTTGAGGAGTGCAGGCAAATATCGCATGGACATTGGGGCTGCTCTGAGCCCCCATCCCAGCTGTAAGAATCGACTAATGAGCCATCGCACATCAACAATGCCACGGTGCAGATATTCTCAAGTGCCGCACAAAGCTTAGGACCCAGAAATTCCGAATGTTCCTCAAGACCCAACCCTCATTTAAAACTCTGTGCGCGCAAGAATACTAGGTCGCCAAAAAGAACAACAGGGTATAAGAAGAGTGCGTATCCAGGTGGCCCGCAGCTCGCCCACCACTGAATGCCAGACCTGCGATCAACCCAGAAGCCGCCACAGCTGTGGGCCAGCCGCTTTCAACGACACCAGAAAGCTTCCAACAACACTCGAGCAACTCAAAAGTGACCTAACCTACAGGACGTTCCTCAAAGTCACTAAGGCATCTACAGGCCTCCCTCTGCATGCATTCTTGCTCCCTGCCCGCATGCTCCCTGCAGGAGCCTGCCGCCTCACCGGCTGAGAGGCCCTTGGCCAGTGCCGCTAGCAGCGCTGTGCTCCCTGCCGCCACCCACGCGCGGTGCTCCCACGTGCTGGCCAGCCCCCCCTGGTACGAGTCTGTCAGCCCCAGCTCCGCCGTGTTGCCCCCGCCCCGCCGATCCGCATTGCTCAGAGGCACCGCCGGCAGGGGCTTGGGCGCAGGGCTCGTCTGCGGCGGGTCCGCCAGCACCGCTGCCACCCTGGCCGCCCGCCTTCCGCGGCCCCGCGCCGTTGCCCTGCCCCTCTCCCCAGCCGCTATGGTCCCCCCGCTGCTAGCATCTCGGCGGCCACACGCACAGTCTGCCGGCCCACTGAGGAGGGGCCAAGGCACCTGTGCCGCAACAGACGGCGACCGGGCAGCCTCCGCAGAGAGAGAGTGGAGGCCTGCCCCCTGCACCGCTGACGGGGAAAGCACACGCAGGGCGGAGGCAGGCATGCTGGCAGGAACGGGCGCACCAGGCTAGCAGATCCGCACAACAACAACTCCTAGCTTGCAACAGAACTACTTACTTGGTTAGTCTTTGCCCGGCCAGACACTAAAAAAGAGACTATCTTAATGCAATGACCACTATAAGAAGCAGGAGTCTGCGATAAACTTGCTGATCGAAACTTCCTTCCGTAAGCAGCCCGCGTACGACAGCTCTGTCACAAACCAGGAAAACTACCACCTCCAAGCAGAAATTCAGCACGGAATCACCTTGAACAGATGTATGAAGTCCGTCTGAGCGCCTGGTTTTGATCTTGTGGCACGGTGTGAAAAAGACTTGGCGGAACAACCGCTTAGGGTAGACTTACATCGGCACGGTTACTGTTAGAAGTTAATCGCAACCGGACCGCACATTGGCACGGTTACTTTTACGCACGGTTACTTCACGCATCACCTGGGTGGATTCTTCGCAACCCCCCACGATAATCTTCCAACTGTACGGTTGGCCCCAACCCGCCTAGGCGGGTTGGGGCCAACAGCACACCGTTACTCCATCTGGGCCCGCCGCGTGGGGGGAACGAATTGATCGGACGGTGCGGAAGTCTGCTCGGTACACTATCAGTACCCAAATTCTACATGGTACAGTACTGCCTCATCCAAGATTTGCAGATTTGCTTCTTCCAAGGGGCTGCAGCCGATGACCGGCGGAGCGCTTTCGCGCCAATCTCTGTTCAACCGTGCCGTTGGAAAAAGTAACCATTTAACCGTTTAACCGTGCCGATGTAAGTCTACTCTTAGCATGGAACTTGGAAGACCGTGACCAAACCTCCGAACAGTTGACAAAACCGATCCTGGCTGTGGGAAAAGCCCTTCGTCGCTTCAAACTTGAAACACACATTCGGAGCACATGATTGGCTGCCTCCACACTGCCGGATACTTGGGTCGTCGGCTACTCCGAGTACCCCCCTCTGGAGTATCCCGGGCAAGTAGCCCGTCCAGACTGCGGGATACTCAGCCCGGCTACTTTGTGTTCCGCGATGATCGGAAGCTACTTCGCCTTCTCACGTGTAAACGAGTAGCCCGGCAAGTATCCTTCAAAAAGTAGGCTACTCGGCCGGCTACTCGGCGGTTGGCCAATCAGATTTCAGCATAACGGTCCAGTTGTTGAACCGGACGCGTGCGAACACCGACAGTCTGCTTTCTTGAATGATTGCGCGAATCTTTGTGTCAACGTGGCACGCTGACAGCGACCGGCGGAAGTAGCCGATGTCCGAAGTAGCCCCCGGTGTGGAAGCGGCTACTTCAGCTCCCGCATTCTGCGGAAGAGCTCCCGGTTCCTCGGAGAAACTTGAGAAGTAGCCGGGTACTCCAGTATCCCCAAGTATCCCCCAGTGTGGAGGCAGCCATTCATGTGCTCCGAACCAATGCCATTGCAAGGGGTTGTGGCTTCCAGTGACCGACGTGGAAGCCGCGGAGCCTTTAGCTCAAGTTGAAGATCTGCTGATGTCAGCACAAGTTGGCCAAATATTCAAGAGGCCATCGCAGCCGTTCAAAGTCATGCTCACGCCATTCAACGGCACAGGCAACGCGACATTTGACGCTTGTAGAGGTTTGGTGCCAGAATTTTAGGGGATCCCCGCAGGGTTGCTGCGCGCGCGGGCTATAGGGCCTGACTCCTGTGTCTGATGATAGGGTATTCGCACCTAAAGGATTTCAACTTTTCTTGTGGATCTTTTCTTGCCGCTTTTCTTGTGAAAACAGCCAGAACAGTCAAGAAAAGACCGGTTATTCGCACCGGGCTGTACTCTGCTCAAGTCTTTTCTGCCCGGCCCAACAGCTATGATCTGACGGCTGGAAATGGCTTTGATCTAAGCAACAAAAGGCAATCGGACGGCTTCGATGGTATCCGAAGTCGACCATACGCGGGTGGATGGCATAAGCTATGCGTCGCACAAGAACCGGCAAGAAAAGCCGCCACAAGAAAAAGTTGCCCTGTCAATTTTCTTGCGGCCGAAATGGACAGATTCGACGAGAACTCGCAAGAAACCCGCGAGAAAAGAACAGATCGGAAAATGTTAGGTGCGAATACCCTATCATGAGGCTAGACGAACTCTAGAGTCTACCTAAAGGTATACTGTATACAGCATGCCGAGGTACGATTCCGAAGGGGGGATCCCGCAAATGTTGCAGCTCAGCGTCTGGCTCGAGCATTTGCATCTTCCGTCCCTCCTCCGACCCTGCTGTTTCTCATTTTGCCCAGGGGCTTCTTCGTTGCTTCCAACTTGTTGTGTGACCGAGGTGCGGCATCTACCTCGTCAACAATATGCTCATGCGCATGCTCATACTCAGACGTTAGATGGCAGTACAGAATGTAACGCCTGTGAGAAAGGGCCAGAGCTAGAGGACGCTCTAGGTACTCATATTAAAGATACCGTAGTTTCTCAAGACGACAATGTTTTGGGAGAGCGGCTCCAGTGATGCATGCAAGAAGCTAAATTGAGGCGTCAACTTTCAGTGTGTCGTTTGGCGCTGATAGGCCGCAAGCGCTAACGATGCATAGCTAGCTGGTCCGAGGCTTCCCTTCCGTAAGCCTTGACAAGTGGATTATATCTTGCGCGACGAGGGGCGTAAAAATGTTTGGGAAGTTCAAGCGTGCAAAATGGTAAGCTGCATGCACGTCTGTCGTTGCGCTTTACCTTCTGCGCAGTAACCTGGTGCAGACCAACGTTGCCCTTCGTACATATTCTCAAGCTAGGGGGCTTCTCTTACTCAATGACGCAGGATGATTGCTTGGGCTCTCCGGCTGCTAGAGGAGCAATGCAGGGGCAATGCAGCTGACGAGAGAGGGCCAGTTCCCTTCCATGGCCAGGCTGCTGAGTGGCTGCTGCCTGTGTTCTGTGCAGCGCTGCACAGCTGAAGCAGTGCACGGCAAGGATCCAGGTGCTGCGCAACCAGAGGGAGATGCGCATGAAGCAGATGACGAGGGAGATTGCAGAGTTGCTGACGCAGGGACAGGAGGCACGTGCAATGCTTCTGGTGAGGCAGCCTGGCTGCTTGAAAGGCTGAGAGCCAGGGGTGGTTGAAATTGTCGGACTTTGGAGCGGCATGGAGCTTTTGTCAGTCTCATATAGCCGGATATTTTGCTGTGACAGCTAGATACGGCGCTTTTTGACAGGTTGTTTTGCCCGATGCGAGGCGCTCCAGACCGCAAGAACATCGCAATAGATGTGACCTTTGAAACTTGGCTAATTGTTCTCGCAAAACCAATCATTGTTTTCTCCAACAAGAGTTGTACTGGATTGCTTGTCGAATTTGCAAGGTCAGAGTCATATACCAATCAGTGTTAGGTCCTTCCTTCTGAGCAGGTTGGACAGAAGCTTCGTGAGGAAGCAGCTCTGGCTGCCTACGATGTTGTTGGAGTCTGCTGCAGTACACTATGTGCACAGATGCCCATGATAGAGGAGGCCAAGTGAGCGTTCTGCACAGACTTTCTCAAGACTGTCTAGATTCACACGGTGTGGTTGATTCATACGATGTGGGATCTGCGAGGCAGAGTTTCTGATCTGTGTATATTCAACACATTCTTTCATAAGCAATGTAACTTTTTGTTCCAACATTAGATTACGTGGGGAACATCACTTTACGAATTCAGCAACATCCCCGTTGGACCATCAGAGAATGAGAAGGTGGACTGCTGCATCCAGACGCATGACACTTTGCCTGCAGGATCGGTGTGTTCACCCCTGAGAAGCTCACAGTCACTAGCAACCGAATCGTGTCTTTTAATTGCAGAAAGTGCCCCCCCTCCCTGAAAGAGGAGATTGCAACAATCATCTTTGCTGCTCCAAGGTGCGGCGACCTTGCAGAGCTCCAAGAGGTAAAGGCCCAAGTATCCCGTTAACACAAGATTAGGGTTCGCTAACCAGCGGTCACCCGCCAGGAGTTGCCCTACTTGCACTTCTACAATGGAGCACTCTTGGAACTCCTGCAAGCCTCTCAGAGTGAATGCTCTTGACATATTGCACATGTGTTTCCAGTGCTAGTAAGTGGGACACTTTGCTAGCCTGGTGTTGCTGAGAGGGTGCTCATTCCGTAGAGATCATCGAAGCTTGTTTTTATGCTGCTCCGAACAGGGCGATAGGTGATACATCATGCGACAGAGAAGGCAGGCTGCCGCTGATCTTATCAGGGGCATGGCACCACATGCCACTCTTTGCAGCACGATGCAAAGCAGTGTTACTGCCTCATGGACACCAGAAAGATCCACAACTCCTTTCACAGATACACTTCCTGGACAGTATGGTGGTGGTTGAGAGCTCACAGTCGCCTCAGCGTGCTGCTTTGCGAGTTACCACTTCGGTGCCTGATGCCTGCGCGTGCTGTGCTGCAGCTCAAGGTCATGTTCACGGCCAAGTTCGGCAAGGCATTTGCAGCGGCGGTAGCGGAGCTGAGGCCCGACTGCGGAGTGGACTCCCGGGTAGGTGCACTCTGGCAGACCCCCAGCCAGCCTGCTCTGTTTTGGAGGATAGGCTTTGCCCAAACCGATCCACAGGTCGTCAGGATGGGGTGTGCATGATCTGCTGGCCTCAAGTCTTCCCTGATGGAACGAACAAGTCCTCGTGAGCATAGCAATCCCATCAAGCTCATCAGTTCGCTTCACCCAGAGCCGCCAGCACGCTGCGCATCTTGTCTTGGATGCTGCTCCTTTGTGACGTCCCCCTTGTATCGCTGGCCCACTGTTCATGCATCCTGGCGGACATCTCACAGGCAGGGGCATCGGCGGTTAACACCCCACAGCTTGCAAGCCTCCCCGAACCTTGCAAAGTTGTGCCCGTTCAGGCTGGGATGCAAGGGGCTTCCCGTTGCTGGTCTTTTTCCTTCTTTGTCCTTGAATCGAGTGGCGGTGATGCTTGCAAATATTTTAACGGAGTGTGTTCGGGTGAAGGAGACCTCGCTTCCCGCTTGCCCCAGCGAGTTGGGGTGCTGCTCACGGCGCTGCCCCTTGGTGCAGGTCATTGCGGGGCTGACGGTCCATGCCCCCTCCAGCGATACCAAGCTGCGCGTGCTGGCCGCCATTGCAGCCGAGTACCAGGTCGACTGGAGGCCGCCCTCCACGCGCAATGAAATGGGCGTGCCTCAGCCCCCCACGCAGGTACGTCGGGAAAGCGCGCTTGTCAAGGGTGCCCACCAGTATAAGCACAGAGAATTGTGCCCGTGAGCCCCACTTAGACTTTTGCCGCAAACTCGTGCTGCGGCTTGGAAACAGAAGAATGCTACATACCCTGCGAAGAATGTGGAAGATGGAAATGTTGACGCCAGCCCCGAACGGGGCCTATCAAGAACGCGTCCACATAATACTGACCTGTAGTCCAACATGAAGGGATGTGTGAGGGTAATGCTACTTGCCCCCTTCGTTTCCACCCAAAGAGTAGCGTCGTTGCTGTGCGCAGTCATTGTTCTTGCTACCCTTTGTGCTGCCTCCCCTGTGATGCAATGCGGACAAAGACTGCTAGGTGACTGAGCTGCCGACTGTCTCCCTTTCTTTTGACAACACAAAAAGCAAAACCGAGGTCTGTTCATGGCACTGCGCAAGTACAAACACCTTTGAGGCTCTGAGTGCGACTAGATCATTGGGTGTTCTATCAATCCCTGCGTGCTTTGCGACCTTCGTGCAGATGTCGCAGCCTGTACTGCTGCGTGCCCCCTCTCTGGTGCGTGCACCTACGCACAAACCTGTCTGCAACGCGTCGCACTTCAACTCTCTCACATTCTCTTTCCTCGCCGCAGGAAGCGCCTCCCCACGACTTCCTCCGCACCGCCCGTTCGCCTCGGACGCCCCCGGGCCAGCGCCCCCCTTCGCCGCCCTCTCCGTTCGCGCGCCAGCCGTTTGCCGGTGCAGATCCCGGGGGTGCCACCGACGCGGGGCCGTACCGCCCACCTCCGCCCCCCGAGTTCCCCCTCCCCGCCCTGCGGGTGCAGAGCAATGGAGCCGGTCCTGCGGGGCGGGCCACTGCCACATCGGGCCCGGGACAAGCGGGGGGGGGCTTCCCCGTGAGCCCTTCCACCGACCGGGTGTCGCCCAGGCCGTGGGCGGACGAGCAGGACGGACGATTCGAGCCAACGCGGGCACAGCCGCAGTCGGGATACCCATTCGGTGGGAACCGGTCGGCCCCCGGCGGGCTGGACGAGTTCCCGGGCGCGACGGCGGCTGCGCTGGTTGTCGCGGCGCAGCAGGTGAGCGACCTGGCGGGCATGGTGGTGGCCAGCCATATGCGCGAGCAGGAGGCGCGCCTGCGGGAGCAGCTGCGGAGCGAGCGGGACGGCAGGCCGGGGGATGACCGCGCGCGCAGCACGGGGTCACAGTACGGCGGGGACAGGCAGGCGTGGGGACAGGCGAGCGGGGAGTGGGGAGGCGGGCAGGCCCGCAGCGAGGCCGGGAGCGGGCGGCAATGGGACGGGCAGAGCAGCCAGCAGAGGTCGCCCCGAGCGCCGAGCCCGTACCGCAGTTTCGAGGGCAACGAGTACGGCCAGCCTGTGCACGGGCGCACCGACCAAGAGGGACGGGTGGTCCCGCCACACAGCGCGGGCCGGACCCTGGAAGAGCAGGGGGCGCTGCAGCGAGCGTCGCGGGACTTCTCCACTCCCCGGCCTGCTTCCCCGGACAGCCTGGCCCGCCGGTCGGACGACCGGGACAGCAGCTCGGAGGACGACAACAGCGGGCCGGGGACAGGCGGGGGAGCAACCCGGGGTGGGGGCCCGCGTGGTACGGCGGGACGGGAGGCGGGGCCCGAAGCTTTCACAGGGAGGCGCGGGGACGTCTTTTTCAACGACAGGCAGGGCCACGTGGCGCATGCCAACGTCCGGAAGGTGGAGGGGCCGCAGGGGGGCAGCCTGCCGCCGCCGCCGAAGCATGCCCAGGAGAGGGGCCGCTTCCTCAAGTGGACGCCGCCAGCAGCGGCGGACAACCCCCACAAGGGACTGCCAGCGTCGCCGAACGCGGAGATGAACGGGCTTTCGTCGCATATCAGAGCACTGAAAGTGGGAAAATAGCTCGTGTCTGGTTGACGTCTTAAATCTATGTACACTGTAGATGGTTGAGGTGCCCGCCCTAACTTCCAATCCGTTCGATTGCTTCTTTGCTACGACGTGTAAAGGCGGTGCATAAATATCCTCGTTAAAAAGTAAGAAAGCGGCTTGTGACGAGGTCTATTGTATTTGCTTGTGATATTGGGAAAGCACTCGTGATAGGAGTGATTGCGTCTGTAGATAGAAGCTGCTATGGTTGTTGTGCAGATTGTTGAGAACATTCTGAGAACATTCTAAGTCCATTGCAGTTTGCAAAGTCGACTATATAATTGTCGTTCCATAATGGAGAACAGTCATTTAACGTAGTCACGCCGGATCATAAGTTAGATGCTTATAGCTTGTAAGTGAGAGTTGGTGCAACGCAACATGCAGCATCTCGAGCGGTGCGCGCACTGAAGAGGAAAATGCAGGCCGCGGCTGATTGTATAAGTTCAATGGCATACATATATGAAGAGCTTTCGACCAGCACATATGGGTAGATGTATCTTTAAGCACGAGTCTTCTATAATACTCGACTGTTATCTCCAGAGCATAGGTAGCTTCAGGAGATGCCTCTGCTAGAACTCTGGCCACCGGGACCTCCGGCCAGCCTGGCCGTGATTGTACGCACGTATAATGCAATCGAGCTGTTGAGTAAACGAAAGCTCGTGTGACACGTGGCGACATCCTCCACCGAGATCACTTCTTATATAAGGTTCACGTACTCGGACTCAAACGATGAGCCAGCGTTTTGTCCGGTGGCACCCCCTGTTTGGGGGCAGACTCGGACAATCCTGAGAAGCTCTCTCAAAACCAGCTGAGCGGACCGCGGGAGCGCTGCCGTGAGGATGGCTGCTGCCACTAGAGCTTGAGAAATCTTCACTCCACGCTTGCACGTGGTCATCTCCTTCATCCAGGATCGGGTCTGGCAACACTGAATACGGTATGTGTTTTAGTATGCCTTTGTCTTAAACACGGGACTCGGTATCCAGCGCTTTGACAAGAAGACCGATCAGAACTGGTCTTTGTGCTCGTCTATTCCATACTCTAAAGATCTGTTGGATGACGGCAGTCCTGCTCCTAAGGTGGAAGACTGACATGCGCTGGCAGGAGAAACGGTGCAGAAAGGCCGCAGATGGTCACACGATCATCTATCTTCCACTTGAGCTCCCTTCCTTCCTCCTATCTCGCAACTTGGACGGGCTGTTAAAGCCACCGTCAGTCTCGTGCTCGGCGTCTTCGTGACCACAGTAGTCCGACGGATGCCACGTGGCACCATCGGACGGCTCGAAAAGTCCTGGATTTATTGACTCTGCCCACAAAACCCTCAGACGAGCAGTGCATACATAACTCAGCGCCTGCCCTTGGATTTTCCAGTGGATCGATCCGGGGCGCCCCCCGGTCCAGGGGCACTCTACGGAGCTCCCCCGGAACAACCCATCACCGCCCTCAATACCACTCCCTCATCCGCTACCACCTCCGACCAATAACAAATTACATGACCCATTATTCTGAACAAACCCAACCTAACCAACCGCAAACCAGCATCCTTGACGAGGACTTTCCAGCCAGAGGGTCCGCTTCTGATTTGACACAGCCAGTCCTCGTCTGTGGCAACCACGGGGGGCGGTTTTTTTCAGAACTCACGCCGGATAAACGCGCACTGCTTACTTGGTTAGCACGCTTGACGAATGTTCACGACCCTCACAGGTCAAGCACGATGACGCAAAGTATCATGTCATTCAGGTGCTGGAAACGGTTGTTCCACGTTCAATTTCGCGAGAGCATGCACATTCTGGCACTTTTCAACGAAAGCCCATGCATGAGCCAAAGGCAGCAAATGATTTTTTTGATATTCGTCTCCTACTGACGGTTCGCCACGCATGTTTGTTTAGCCGGACGTAGAATTGAATGAAAACATGCGGCTCTTCAAGAAGTATGAGCATATTCAGTCATAGGATGTCAAGTGAGTGTCTGACGTTGGGATTGCGGCATGAGAACTTAGTTTGGGACATGTGTGTTTGTTGTAATTGATTATAGGAGAGGTTTGGAAGATTTGTGTTTGTTGTCGGAATCTGTTTGATATGTAAGGGTTGTTTTGAGGAGGAAGTTGTGTGAAGAGCTGTTCCGGGGGAGCTCCGTGGAGCACCCCTGGACAGAGGTCCTGAACCTGGACCGGGGGGCGCCCCGGATCGATCCACTGAACCACGAGGGCAGGACACTCCCTTATATACACCCTGTTTGTCTCCCTTTTCTGTGGGCCGACTCACAACGAACGGAAACTTTCTACCGCTCGATTTGGCCACGTGGCTTTCATCGGACGGTGATGACACAACTACGCGAAACCTGACGCGCTCTGCGGCACATCCTCCGCTTCGCGCTGGAGGCAAGCTGTCCAAAGCAGGGAAAGTGATGCCCACGCTTTAGATGCAGGACGCGAAAATCGAAGCAGATCGAGAAGCTGTTCCTTGCTCTCAGATTCATCTTTTCGCCGGAGCTTCCTGTCAAACTGCGCGGACAAGCGGATCCGGGATTGCTGCAACTTGATTGAGCCTCTCGTGGCGGTCATGTTAGTAGAGTACACATCTCGACTGACTTGCTGGGAGGCAATTTCGTAAGGACCCATCATTTCTAACGTCCGATCAAAGGGCATAAGGAACGGCATCTTTTTGAGGAAGCTCCTGTCCAGTACTATCCTCGGTTCCACTTGGCGTGAAAAGATGCGAGTCGTGCGTGCCCACGCGAGATTGCCCATGTCTCATATGATCTTGCATAGCAGGAGTTCCAGCGTTTGGCGGATAAAACAAGCTCCGAACAAAGCTCACTTGCTTGTTCGATCTGATAAGCTTGTTCTAGTGTGACAGTGTGCGTTTGGAACCTGGAATATACCAAGTTACGAGAGCCGCTCACTGATCATGAGAGTCACTCACTGTGAGAGCTGCTCAAGAGGGTCACTCGCCTCACTCGAATCACTGTGCTCAGGATAGTTTCTCACGCGAGCCGGTAGTGCGCAGTACAGCCCAGATCTTTGCTCTTCGTGGCCACTGAGCAGTACATGTGAGCCGCGTGATATACCTGCAACTCTCTGTTCGTCAAGTTGCCACCGCAATTTTAGGACAACGCCTGAGAAGACGGCCTTCCAGATTCATGTTTGGCAAAGTATCGTGCCAGCTTGACGTAAAGACGCAGCCTGACAAGGCTCCTTATTGGCTCCGATTCTGGCTATTGGAGAATGCTTCCGGCTCTGCCATTCGTATTGCCCGTTTCCCAGTAGCCAAGCGGTCGCAGTCGACTCGTGCCTTTTCTGGGCACGCTGCCGTCGGCCGCGGTAGCGCGGTTTTGCACCGATGCCATTCGATGTGCCACGTGGTACCATCGGACGGGTCGCAACAATCTCAGGTCCGCCCACAGAGAAGGTGGAAACGCAGTGCATACATAGGTCAGCGTTCTGCTCATTGTCATTCAGTGGATCGATCCGGGGCGCCCCCCGGCCCAGGGGCAGGACCTCTGTCCAGGGGTGCTCCACGGAGCTCCCCCGGAACAAACCCATCCCAAACTATTCCGTCACTCCCCTCCTCACTCAAACACCACCACATCATTACAATACCCACCGCATCAAGTTTCATCATTCGCTCCCCTTTTCACTCAACCGCAGCCACATCAATTGCTACCACAACAACCGAACCCCCTCAGATATGCAACCACCAGCACTTGAATCTTCACTCAACTCATCTACTCTACTCGTCCCGAATGTAAGCCATGTTATGGACAAGCAGCGTGATCGCATAGCATGTCGGTTTGTTCACATTTGCGCCTTGCTCCTGCTCATGTCGATGCCACCTTCGCTGAACTCGTTACTGAGCAGCGCGACAACTTAGAACTCGAAATTTGAGAATTAAACGTCTGCATGCTAGCAGGTCACCTCCGAACCTGTCGGTTTGTCACTGTCCATGTACGTGTCTGATCAAATCTGCTTTCAGTGTTCAGCCAACGCAAGTTTCTGGTTCGGAGCGATGTCACGACCAAGTTAAAGACGTATCGGTCTGAGAACACAATCTCTCAGAGTCACTGCTAGCAGCCGCGACTTCTCTTGCAAAGCCTTGGTTGATTGCTGAGTAGCACGTGCATATCGGGCGTGTTCACGGCAAACGTCAACCTTGAAAAAAAACAAGCCCTCCGACAGATGGCGCTTAGACGAGCCCCATCATCAGGTTTCGCAGATACAGACTTGTCAGGCACCACCTTCTTGGTTGCAAGCACCATCCGTTTATAAATCACAGAACATGAGATTTGTTTGGGGTTTCGATGCGTCATTCAAGTCATGCAACGAGAATCATGTCAATTTCAAATTTGACGCAATTGTATGTGGCCAGGATTGATTTCGGTGGTGGTTGACGATGGCGAGAACTCTGACGGGTTGTGTGTCGTGGATTCTGGGGAAAGGGGTTAGATTTAGGTGGGTTTTGGTTGTGAAAATGTTCTTCGAGGAGCTCCGTAGAGCACCCCTGGACAGAGGTCCTGCCCCTGAATTGGGGGGCGCCCCGGATTGGTCCGCTGAAAGATGAGGGGGCAAAACGCTGACCAATTGCTCGCTGCTTGATTGCTTCATTTGTGGGCGAAGGTGACTCGAACTACATTTCTAGCCGTCCGATGGTGCCACGTGGCGATCATCGAGCAACTCTAAACGTCGGACAGTGTCGGAAGCTTCATACACGCGCTGGGGCCCATGAAGACGGATTTCAAGCTACGTTTTCGCATCGAAAGGAGACTCTCCTTGCGGAATCACCTTGAAAAGACGGTGGCATGACCTACTTTGCCGAATTGACGTCATGATTTTCTTAAGCCTCCGGAGTCTGAGGGGTCGAAGTTCAAGTCAACGGGATTTGAACAATTCCAAAGAAAAGGTCAGACGAAAAAGTACGGCTCCTTCATGAGCGGCATCACGTACCGTGATTGAAATTTCGGTTAATCAACGAGAGTCTAGCTTGATCATGATCCGATCCGAGATCTTCACCTACAGCTCATGTGACAGATATCCGCGAGACGGCTCGTTAACGCATTCAGCATGACCCAATGCTTTTTACAATTAGGCGTCATGGGCTTTCGCCAGGTCGTCACCCTGAGTGCGTCTTTCGACTCAAAAAGCGGTGATCACCTGCCGTCAATCCATGAAGAGTTTCATCTCATGACGTCGAAGACTAGCAGGAGAGCAATACGTCTCGTCCGGGAATACTGAGTCCGGGACCGAGATGGCAGATGGCAGCGGCGGCGCCCGCGCTACCTTGTGCAAGAGGGCGGTGGAATCTGCTTGCGATCAGGCTGGTGCAAGTGAATACAACTTCCCAAATCCAGGAGCGACGGGCCTGCCGTTTGTAGCATGGGGTGTTGGATGAAAATTCGTCAACATGCTGTTGTGCCAACTCAGCTTAAATCAGTTGACAAGAAATTCTGGCAGCTTGCTTGGAAAATGCTGTAAGCTATGCCGCAACAATGTGCTACCAACGGTTGAGTAGCTGATCGCTGGTAAGTCGAGCTAGAAGCATGGAGCGGGGAGATTTGCTTGTGGAGGCACCCCGGGTTGCTCGTCAATGGGACGAGGTAACAATCAACGCCCTATCCTCTATCTTAAACTACTGATCCGAATGTTGGCCACTAGCCACGACGTACTTTGAGAGTACTCAAGCCAATTATTTAAAGACCCCCTAGCCTGTGTGAGCCTTAACAGATGCATGTTGCTAGGACATTCAAAGACGAGGGCCGCAATGCACATTGATAATACTACCATGTCTAGGTCAAACAACTATTCTCGTCCGGCTCCTACAAATGTACTCGTTCCTTCTAACAAAGAGCGCTGCGCTCCGTGCCTCCGCTAAGCCCGGCCCGCCCGGCATGCCGTGTTAGTTACGGCACCTGCGCTTGCCCCGCGGGCGGCTGCAGCGTGGACTCGAGCAGGAGCGCCTCGACGCGCGCGAGCAGCTGCTTCTGCGCCACGTTGAAGTCGTGCCCGCCCTGGATGGTCGCCTCCAGCGACGCCAGCTGCGCCTCCATCTCGCGCACCGCGCCGCTCACCCCTGCAGCACACAGCGACCAGGGGAGCGACACGTCAGTGCGCACTCGCGGACGGCAAGGGACACGGAACGCAAGTCTGCGATAAGAATCGTTGGGGCTGACGGGAAGAGAGTTCCTGCGCCGGCAAGAGATCAGATAAGGGCAGCCCCCTGTGCATTGCTGGCTTCCAGACGGGACGGGCGTGCAAGCTGCCGTCCCGCTGAAGAGCGACTGCGGGGCTCCGCTCGGATGCGGCAGGCCCGCCAAGGGCTGCCCCACTTCCGGCGGGTGTGCCTCACCTTCACCAGCGTTGCCGGGGCTGGCCTGCTCGCCCTGGCTCGCGCTGCTCGGGGGGACGAGCCACGTGGTATACGCGGGCGGCAGAGTGCCGGCAGGGCTCAGTTGCGGGGGGGGGCGCCGGCCAAGCCAGCGGCGGTGAAGGGGGAGGGGGGGGGCCGGGAGGAGGTGGACAGGCCGGGCCTGCACGCAGCAAAGTACGCGGCCAGTGAGCAGGGGGGACAATGAGGGGGATCCCCCGGAGAGGGGGCCAGAGCAGGGCCACCGGGAAGACAAACGTAAGGCGAGCAAGCAGCCGACGAGAGCAACCGCAGCGGGCAAAGCGGAGTCCTGGACCGGACAAAGACGAAAGTGCTCTGAGTAAATCTGGACCGGAGGGGATACGTGCTGGGTGGTTCGGGGCGGCCCCTGACCTGAGAACGTAGTGGTAGATGGCAGACAGCAGGGCGGCCGAGCCGAGCGTCTGCGCGAGGCCCTGGCCCATGCTGTACCCAGTCTCTACGGACGTCTTCACCGCCAGCACCGCCTGCACGCACCGTGCATGGTCAGAAGAAACGAGACTTGCAATCTGAAGCGGAACCTACCCTACGGCTCGTTTCAGACATTTTCGCAATAGCGTACACCGTTCGCTAGTTCTTTACACATGTAGATTACACTTAACCAGATTGCCTCGACAATTGTGGCACTACTCTCCCCCGTACTGGAAAGAAGGGGGGTACGCGCCCTCAGCGGACTATCGCTGACGTCACATGTGGCGGCTTCCTACGGTCTGCCCGCGAACCCCTCACCATGGACCCGCTGGCCGCTACGATCACACTCGCCGCCGCGAGCGGCACACCAATCTGCGCCACCCGCCGGAGGGTCGTCTGCGCTGCAGGTGATAGCTCCAGCTTGCGCGGCCGTTGCGGTTCCCGTTGCGGCTGCGCGTTGGCACTGCGGGCTTTTCCCCCCTGGGGCCGGGCCAGCGGCTGCAGCCCCACCGGCACATGCTGGTGCAGGTGGGCGGCCCGCAGCAGCTGCGCGAGTGCCGCCACGTGCGGAAACTCGGGCGGGACGGCCTCCCGAGCGGGCGGCACGGGCAGCGCGCCCGCGTCCAGCCCCACGAGGCGCTTCAGCCCGCGGAGCGGCTCGGCCAGCGCGCGGGGCGCTTCTGCAGCGGGCTGTGCGGGGGCGTTGAAGGGCGTGCTCAGCGGCAGCAGCGCGCTCCACGCGACGGCGGACTGCGGCGCGCGCCCCGCCACGACGGTCGCCTTCAGCTTCACCTTGCGGTCGAACTTGGCCCCCGCGTCCGCCAGCTTCGGGCCCGACCGGCTGCGGTTCAGGAACGGCAGGCTGCCCCCGCCCCGGCTCGAGCTGGCGGCCTCAGCGGGCGCCTCAGCGGATGGCCGCCCCCCGAGGGCCCACCCAAAGGAGAGGGCGGGCGCGAGCACGGGCTCGCGCGCCTTCTTGCCGCTGCTCGAGGCGGCCTTTTTCTTGCCGCTCTTGGTGGGCTGCGGGACTGGCTCGGTGGCCCAGCGTAAGGACTGCGTCAGGAAGCGGTGGCGCAGCGCCTGCCGGGCGGTCGGGCGCGGGCACCAGAGGCCGTCGCGGGGCCGGAGCAAGGAGCGGGCCAGGTCCCAACCAGCCCCGCCTGCACAAACGGCAACACGAGCCGTCAGCCTGCAGACCGGGCTGAGTCTAGTCGCATTACAGTCGTACACTCCACGCGAGCCCTTCCTGCTTCCGTGCAAGATCATGAGGTAACCATAACCGAACGCTAAGTCCGCCCCTCGTCCTCATTCAGCACAGTCGCAGCTAGCTATTGAGCGGGCCCTCCAAGCAATATAGCCCGCCGCCCGTTGGCCTTGCCGTTGTAGCCTCGCTCACCGTTGGCGTCCAGGATTTCGAGCTCCGCCTGAGCGAAGTTGAGTTTGGAGCGGCGCCACTTGTCCAGGTCATACCCGGACGCCGCCAGCTGCACGTTGAACTGCGCCTGTAGCCCACAGCCCACGGAGGCAGAGTCAGAAATCGGGGAGAGGGACAACTGCGTGAAGTAAGCTTCATCCAAACGTCTTCTCACAAGACGGAAGGAGGGAGAACGAGGACTCCCGAGCCCACGTAAGACACCCCGACTACTACCCTCTAGGGTCGACGGTCTGGGTTGATGGCTTTTTGAGTTGACCATCAATCGAAGGGCTTCTAACGGAAGGGGGTCCCCAGGAAGTCTGCCAGAGTCCCTGGTCTCCTTTCGTCCTTCTGACATGCGGAAAGTTCGAACTTGCAGGGATAGCGGACGATCTTCTGAATCTTTGATCGCTGTTGGTGACGTACAGCGGAAGAAGAGGGCCGCTCACGAGGTTCCTGTCGTAGCGCAGCGTGGGCACCGCGAGCTGCATGAGCACGAGCCCCGTGGAGAAGAGGTCGAACTTGTCGGGCGTGTGCGCCAGGAACAGCAGCGGCGCCAGCAGCGACATGAGGGGGCCGGGGGGCGCGTCCGGCATGTTGATGGGCAGAATGTACTGCTCCGGCGCGCAGTAGATCGGGTCCATGATCGTCTCGTCCGGCACCTGCACGCCCGCTCCGTGGTCAGCACAGGAGGTCATGGAGCCAGCAAGCACGAATCACTGCAAGATTCATGTAGCGGAGAAACGCAATGAGCTGGCTAGCTTTACACTGGAGCCAACCCGCTTGTATTGACGTAGTGCTCCGAACGTATTGCCAGACTGGGAGCAGAAGCGAGGCCCCAGTAGAATGCACAGCTGCCAATTTCAGATGGCAGTCTGCTCACGTAGTTGTACCCGGTCCGCAGGTCCACGCAGGCCCCCAGGTCGACCAGCGTGAAGCGCAGCGTCTCCTGGTCCAGCACCAGGTTCAGGGGCTTCACGTCGCGGTGCACCACGCCTGTGCCACACAGCCCTCCACAAGTCAGCCCCATGGCGTTACTGCGTCTCCTTTGTGTGCCAATTTCGATCCTTTGCTGAGCAATCTCCCACTCTGGTGAAGACAACATCAAGGAATGTGAAATGAATTGAGTTTCGCTCGTGGAGCAGTAGATTCGGCCGCGGTCGACCTGTCCTGGTCCGGGCTCCGTTGGTGATGCGCACCTGTTGCGTGCACGGCACGCAGGTTCTCCAGGACGTGCCGGCACACGGCCTGCACGACGGCGCAGTCGCGCTGCAGCGTGTCCTCCTTGGTGGACCGCACGGTCACCCCGCGCTCCCCGAGCAGGTCCCCCGCCAGCGCAGCCGGGAAGTCGCGGCGCCGCAGGAACGACTCCAGGTTGGCCGACCCCTGGTAGCGCCATATGAGCCACGTGCCCTGGCATCGAGAGCGGACAGCCCATCAGTTTGAGACGGGACTAGCTCAGCACGAACGGCCTCACGAAGCGACCATCGAAATCTGTCGAAAAGTGAAGGAAACTGTTGCCTGTACAACGGGCAGCCCCAACGAGCTGGGCACAAGTTGGAGATATTACAGGGACGATACTCAGGCATCCGCCGATTTGCTCGAGGTGTGGGCAGGGGGCAAGGCTGACCTCTACCAGCTTGCCCTTCTGCATGGCCCTGTCCACCTGGCAGGTCCCAAGAAAGTCAGCACAGCTGCGCGCCAAAGAAACACAGGATCAGGAATGAGACAAGCAAGAGAATTACCAACGACGACAAATGTGTACTAGCCGGTTCTAGTGAAAGTGACCATGTCCATCGAGATACAAACAGTCAGCCAATTCTAAACCAGCTTCAGTCATATCAAAAATGAAAGTGAGGAGGGACATTGAGTTGCGCGGCATGACCCACGATCCCATCCAGACAAAGACCCGGGGCCCCGATAGCGAAGCTGTGCGAGAAAAGTGCAGTGGGGCTGACCTGCCGCGTGCTGAGCGTTGGAGGCGCTTGTTGAAGTAGAGCTCGCTGGTGCGCATCTCGTCGGCACCCGACACCTTGGCCTTCACCTTCTTGAGCACCACGCGTGTGCGCCCGCGCGGGCCGGCCACCCACCCCTCAAATACCACGCCAAAAGAGCCCTCCCCCAGCTGCTTGCCGATGGTGATGCACGCAGGGTCAAACGACCTGCCGCGACACACCGTGCACAAGTGAATATAGCAGGGCTGATCCAGGCAGCTGGGTCTCGATTGTCCCAACGATGCGGCAACTCAAGAGCTCAGTTGATGCCTTTGCGCTTGATCCTCCCAAGGGATACTTCAGCAGGATTCAGCTCCTACTCTCTCAGCCTTTTATCACCTTGAGGTGGGGCAATACTTCCACAGCTGAATGTGGCTCCTTCTGCCTCTAAAACAGACAATCGTCAATCTCTGTGGCCCGCTACGGCCCAGTGGCAAGGCAACTGAGTGGGCTGCCCTTCGTCATCTCCCGTGCGCCTGAGTTGCACTCACGTTGCATTCATTTCTGCGACGGGCGCCCACATGATGTCGAGCACGCCCTGGATCGGCCCCGGCTTGGCAGTGATGTACCAGAGAGTGAGTGCGGCCGCAGCCAGTGTCCGCCATTGCGCCGGGTCGTCCAGAGAGGCCAGGGGGGCCAGCACCGCCTCGGGGGGGCGCAGCAGCTGGGCCCACTCCGACGCACCGCTGGAAAGGCCAATGGCAGACACGCTGGCATGGGGGGAAGACACACAAGCTCTGGCATTAGATGCGATGGGGGTCGTATGAAAGGCAGGGCAAGAGACGGCTGGCTTGACTTCATCTTTCCAGATCTAAGTATATGGACAACGAGAGAAAATTACACGTGCGTCGCGCAATGTCTCAGATGTATGCCAAACAGCGGTTGGCCTGATGCAAATGCTGACAATGGGGATGCCGTTAGCTGTGCGTGGACAGATGTCCTGTTTCGGCATATACCAAAATGCCGCCCATGCCACTCACCCTGCAGCAACCAGCCCCGTCACGGCATCAGGCAGCGCGAGTGCCTGGCAGCTGTGCGCCGGTGCTCTCTTCCTCTTCCCTGGCCCCGCGACAAGCTGCAGTGTGGGGCCCATGAAATCCGCGTGGCTGCTGCTCCAGGCGGGAGTCGGCGCATCTCTGGCTACATTTGTGGTCCGGCTCACTGCCAGAGATGCGGCATCAGCGCGCAATTGCGTCAGCTTCAACTGGGCCGACGCCATGGAGCATTGACAGGAAATTGGACTAGGAGGACTCGATTTGCAGGGCAGGTGCAGTCTTTGACTGGTGGCCAGTTGTGTCAGGTTGCCTCCCGTTGCTTTCGAGGCTGTCGACTCTAATCCTTGCACCTGGGCAAGGGCATCCACTACGATCTTACAAAACTGAGGCGCCCTCTCCTCCTAGACAATCAAGAACTATCACAAAGAAGCCCAATCTCTGATCTACAGTATGTTACACAGCAATCTGGTCCTCACAATTTACAAATTGGCAACAAGGCAACAAGAACTGCAAGCTAGGTACCTAGCTTAGAGGAGAGAATGATTTACGCACTTTTGAAGGCGGGTAGTGTCAGGATGCTTTCACCGCGGCCATTTTTGCAATGGAGCAAACAGTGAACACGTCTTGACACGTCTTGCTAAGTACCGATTATCATTTCCGCTGTGCATGAGTCCCACTTTCCAACGGTCCAAATTCCAAAAGTTATTGTACCACGATGTATAGGTACCTATCCTGTAACCTGTACAATCGCTAGGTAGGTACCGGTTGTCCGATAAATATCTCCGGGAGTTCCGGCCGTATCCTAAGCTCGCACAACCTCAGTCGGACTCAAAAACTACGGTACGTACCTTGCTAGGTATGGGTAGCAGATCCAATCGGTACTAGGTACGGTATTTGCTGCGGTTTGCATCATGCAAGACTCAGCCGCGGTGAAACTGGGAGTTACCCGCGGCAGTACCTAACAAACTTCGACTCCGAGCGGCTCGATGGACGAATGCTTTCTCCTTCGCAACATCGGGGCCGTCGATACTCCGAATTCGGAATAGGTAGGTATCGGCCGACCCATTGTTCATAGGGAATAGAGGCTGCCCTGCCGCTTCAGTGCAGGACTGACCAGTGAGGAGTCTAGACTCTACCGGTGCACAAGCTGAGCATAGGTACCTACTAGGAGTGGTCATTCGAGTCGAAGGTGAGGTTTGAACTGTTCCAGTTCGCATTTTGCGCTAAAATGGACGACTCAAAAAACAACACGTGGCACATCCATTACCGGCAACTCGTTACCATTCTGTGAATCCTAAAATGTTTCGACTTTCAAGTTTCAGGGAATTCCAACGCCAGCACGTTGGACTCGATCAAACGGAGAAGATCATGGGCGCCACCAAGCAAGCGGACAGCATGAAGCCTAAGATGGCGGGCAAAGGAAGCAACACCCGTCGTGATGCTCCTGGAAAGCGTTTGGAGCGGAAGAAAAGGAAGCTTGCAGACAGCTTCCACGGTCCTCTAGCGCAGGAAGGGGGCGAGGCGGAGGATGACTTTGGCGCGGTGGCGGTCCTGGACCTGGCGGAGGAGGCCGCGCTGGTGGCAGATGGGGGCAGCGCGCAGGGGGAGTTCCTGACAGGGCAGCCGGGGGAGGGGCAGGGCGCAGAGCCCCAAAAGCGAAAGAAACGGAAGATAGAACAGGTGAATGAAAGCACGGCCCCACAAGCAAAGTCGCAGGATGGACAGGTAAATGCAGCTTCGAAAAAGAGCAAGAAGAAACGAAAAGAGAGTGACGGGCGCGATGTAGCATCCGATGAGAAGGTGGTCGAGAAGCACGCTGCTTCGAAAAAAGGTGGCAAGGAAATGAGCGAATTGCCCAAAGAGAACCCCCGCGCTTTGCCCCTCCCTGAAGCCGGCGCCGACCATACGGAGCAGGCGGACTGGTTCGGGGGCTGTTTTCGGGCACACTTTGGAGGAGCGCTGTCCAGCCTGGAGCAGGCAGACATCACAGGTGCAGTGCCTTCCGCATCTTCGGCCCAGGGAGGACTGGGCACTCCCATGAATGTGCCTTAGACTTTTGCAAACGTGGTTTCGACTTTTTCTTGTCGTTCCACTAGACTCATTGTTTTGGTGGAAAGCCGATCATACATCAGCGGAAAGTGTACGCATCTTGATATCAGTGAACGTACCACCTCGTGATTGTACCACCATCGTACTACACATTCCAGTGAAGTATTGGTCCCCTCACTAGGTTTGCGCTTTGCCACTGTCCTACTTTTCATGGGAGCCTCATGTGACAGCTTTTGCGTCCTCCTGGTCAGATCAGCACATTGCCAGTGGCAGTCATTCCGGGGCGCCCCTCGCCCCCCAGCTGAAGGTACTGTTTGGGTCGCGGTGGCAGGAGCGCCTGCTGGGCAGCACCCTGGAGGAGGGACATGAAGCAGGGAGCCCCACAGTGCTCATAGTAGCAGCGTCCGCCAAAAGATGTGTCGAGATCATCAAGTAAGCGTTGCAAAAATCCCCAAGTGGGTCACTCTTTGAGTAGCTACATGGGCCCCTTGTGCCTGCAACTTTGCTAAGCTGGTTTTGCGACATGCCTGTTTCTGCCAAGGCTTGTGGATAGGGGTGTGTCAAGCCAACGGAGCTTTGTACATGTGCAGTTGCGCTCAGAGGGCTGAGTGTTTGTCTTCCTACAGGACGCTTACTGAACTCAATGCTGGCTGCCGTGTGGCCAAGCTCTTTGCGAAGCATTTCAAGATCGAGGAGCAGATCGAAGTTCTGAAAAAGCGGGTCAACGTTGCAGCGGGGACGCCGAACAGGTGACGTTCATCCTCATGCAAGTGGGCAACTGATGTTTCTACCAAATGTCTCTCTGCACTCATTAGTTGGTGTGGGCTCGGATCTCTCTTGCTATTCTCTTGATGCCGTCACTTTTACCTTGAAGCCACCAATTGTGTTCGACTTCACGTCAAGGCAGCTTACCATCGGGCTCCTTCTCTTCTCAAAGGTTACTGAAACTGACGGAACTATCGGCACTGAGCCTCAGTTCGCTCGAAGTTCTCGTCCTGGACTTGCACAAAGATGCGAAGGGATTGACCGTTGTGGACATCCCAGAAACCAGGTACGTAATTGTCACCACCACCGGCTTTCACTTACCAGCCTTCTTAGAGCCGGTTGGGCGCTCGAATAAAGGGGTCTGCTTGAATTCACCTTGTGAAGTCGTTCCGAGTTGTGTTCCGTATGGAGCTTCCCTGCTTAGTCACTCTAGCCTTTGTCTGGATAAGTATCCGAGTAATACCCTTGATGCTCCTACTGGAGAGAGGATGGTATCCCGTCGTCAATTCAGGTGCCAACATGACATGCTTGTGATACGAGCTTTGCTCTCGCCCCTCGGTGTTTGCAGGAACGACTTTTGGAACTTCTACCAGCGTCATGGCTCAAACCGGATATCAAAAGGTGAATGTAAGCTCTTCTTCAATCTCTGATTCGTGGGCTCCCTCTGCTCCTGGCAAGGCCCTACCATCCACTAGTACGTAGGGCAATCCCATTTACGAAGTTGGTAATGCTACATGGGCAATAGTCGGACGATACTTGGAGTTCGCAACAGTGGATATCAATACCGACAGGAACGTCGATAATAGTCTTGTAAAATTTACAGATAGCTAACCCGGTGACAGTCTGTACACGAGATCTCACATTGATGCATATGCAGAAAACCTGACACCTGAAATTTCTCAACATTTTGACTGTTTGCAATCTGGTCATGGGGCACGAGCTACAAGGTATATCCACAATGGATACATTCAGGAATTGATTGCAAGAAGCTGCAATGTCGGATCGATCATACATGCCATGTGATGATTGGACGGAGTGGTCGGGCACTGGCGCTTGCTGCAGTGTCACACGATCGTGCATATAAGTAGAAGTCATGGTAGTCTGTTCTATTCTCGCACACATGTGCTAGTGACTTGGTGCGTGTACGTCTTAGCCTCTCGTTCGATTGCATCGTACGTTGGCCGCCGCGTATATACATGCCGTGGCCAGTGCACGTCAAGCCACGTTTATCAACATGTCGATAAACGTTTTGGAGCCCCGTCGACTATAGCGGAATGCACTTACCTGTTTGATCCCCGGTGTTCGAGCGTTTGATCGATTAATCGCAACATGGTTGATGTGCGAGGCTCTTTAAAGCACGCTAGTTCTGAATTCAACTAAGTAGGTCCGGTCATGTGCAGCAGTTCGGGGTCCGTGGGTTCGCAGGTCCTGTCGGCAGCTGATTCGCGGCCGGAGCATGTCTGGACGGCTTGCTGGCTTCGTACCGAGGCTGGTGGTGGTAAGCGTTCTCCCTTTGAAATCCTTCCGGTCACTTCGAATGGCTATGGCCACCCCCAGTTCTTTATAGACCACTTTAATCAGGCAGCATCTGACTGCGACATGGCGCAGTCGTCAAGCATGGAGACGCATGCATCAGTGCAAGCGTACGTCTTCTACGTATGTTGCATAGAATGTAAGCTGCTACCGGGCCGAGCATGCTCGGCCAGCCGCCCGACGGCTGGCATGACGAATGTGGTTGGCATCTACAGGTGTTCCCACATGAATCGACAGTGAAAGCCGACAGTGCATGGACTTCCAGAAACAGGACAACTTTTTTGAGACCAATCTTCTGTAGACATACGCCAAATGGCTGCATATAATAAGCCACGAGTGGCATCTCGGACGGCCCTCTTGAACCCTGATTGGAAGCAAGGTAACGAATCAATATGCAGCAGCGTGCGTCCAGATCCAAAGTGCCAGCGAATCATCGTTCTGTTGACTTCGAAGTAGATCGTCTGATTTCTGCTTCAATGGCCGGCTTGAGAATGGGGTTTGACGCCAGGGACAAGAACACCTCTTTTGAAATGTTTCTGACGTCTTCGTCGGGGGACCTGGAAGACGGGAACAGGTTAGACGGCAGGTAACACTGACGTAGGCGACAGGAAGCAGGCAAAAAGCAAGCAAGCTCGGAGAAGCAGTGCAACGAACTTCAAGGCGGCATTCAGACCTGGAGCAGGATCAGCAGCAAGCATGTTGGGTGTGGCTCGAGAGAATATTTGGCGTACTCCGTGGAGGCGGCCTCGCTGCTTACTTCATGAGCGTCAGCAGCTGCGTGGCGGCCCCGTCCTCCTCCGCCAGCCGAGCTTGGCGATCCGCACTGCACACGTTAAGATCGGCACAGTCAGGCATGGGGGGCGTCAACAACCTTCGGCACGCTGCATCCTTCTCTAAGCTTGTAACTCATGAAAGCGACCCGAATTCCAGCTTCGGAACCGGCTTTGGTGCAAGCATTAAAAGCTCGTTTCGAACAAGCGGCCCTATCGGCAGGAATTTGAGCTGATCGGACCGAAGAGCGATCACGAGTGTCCCGTGGATGGGTTGATGCCGCACGGCGGTGAGGCCTCACTCTGCGCCGCAGAGCATGCCTAGCCCGAGCAGGGCGCGCACGACGACCTCGCTCTCGCTGCACGCCAGCAGGGGGACTAGCCCGCCGATGACGCCCTCCTGCGCCAGCGACGGCCGCAACGACTCCTCGGCTGCCAGGTGGCATAGCTGCACACCGCACCGCGGCGGTGAGCCCAGAAGCAGATCAAGGCATGCACATCAAAGTCCGACCACCACGCAACGCTGAGTTGGGCGGGCAACGGGACACACAAGCTGCCGGACACAAACCAAGGATGCCGGAGTGCAAAGTCAGTGGCACCTAGCGAAACAGTTCGATGCCCAGTGCTTACACGCATTGTATACTCGATAACACCGAGCGCAAGGGGGCATGGTGGGCGGGCCTTACCACGTCGACGACGGCCTCCCATAGGACGGGCTGCTGCGGGACCTCGAACGCCGCCAGCAGCCGCGGAATGCCCCCCACCGCAAACAAGTCGCTGCTCACGGATGCACTGCAGGGAGGGGAGACGGGTGTCCTCGATGGTGGCCTCACGACGAGGTGGAGCCCCAAGAATGTCCCGAGAATAGTCAAAGCGTAAAAAGCCTTCAGTGCGGTCATTCACTAGGACGCAGACCGGTGTTGGGAGGAGGCTAGAGACTCCGGCATGAGCAGTAGGCGGCCGCTCACTGTTGCGCCAGTGCCCCTAGCAAGTTGGCCGCATTGACCCCCAGGACTGGATCGGAGAGAGCGTCCAGGCAGGCGGGCACCTGAGAGAGCAACAGCATGGAGAAAGGTCAGGTGGCACATGCAATTGGGGGCGCACGCAATTGGGGGCACAAACAAAGCAACTCTCAGAGTTCGATCTGGACCTTGCAGAGACAAAGGATTGATATTCCTGAAAGTCCCCCCTGTACTGAAAGTGCTGCTTCGTTGGCAGCCAGCTGGGCTCACACAACGAATAAAGCGTGATTCCCTGAACAGGCAAACACGAGGTCGACTCACCACCGCTGAGGAAGCTGCCACCTGGCCCCTGAGGTCGTCATTAGCGTTGGAGATGACAGTGAGGGCGGCAAACACGTTTCGCTGCAGCATGGCCGCAGCCTCATCAGCACCAAGGACACATCGCCTGAAACAGCGCACCGGGCTCAAGTCGAACGGTTCCAGTAATCATGAGGAAGCCCGTTCGAGTTTATTGTTGCTTCATACACAGGGAACTGGACCCCGCCAGCTGTGCTGGGTGCTTTACAGAGTTATGTCTCAAGTTTGATAAGCCTCCTGGCATCGCTTCGCCAGGACGCCTGCTACAGCTTGGCCCCACTGTGCCGCGCTCCAGAGAGCAGAGCAGCGATGGGGCAGTCAATGTAGCACCGCAAGAGCGTGACCCGGGGCAAATAGCTCCTGCCCAGGGCGTATCAACGATGCAGCACGGGGAGCAAGCGAGGTTTTGCAGCGATGCCGGTGGCAGTGGCCACGGATTCACGTGTCTGAGAGAAAGATAAAACAACGATTGGCACTCACTTGAATTGACTCCTGGTCTGACGTCAGCAGATTCACCAAGGGCCGGATCTGCGACAAAGAGCCAGCCAGAGTGAGAGTGCGATCAGGGGGGGCAGGACCACTCAGGATTCAGAAGAATCATACAGCAAATCTCCTCCACCAGCATTGTAGCCAACTAGGCGACCAAGCAGGTTTCTGAGAGAACCCGTGCACTGCCGTAGCACGGGTAAGACCTGTGACTAAACATGCTCTATTCAATCTCAACCATCGGGTGTGGCTCGTCCTGCTGGTGGTGGGGCCCAGAGGGAGGTGGCTTCCTTACAGCGGTGTGCAGATGGGGCCACGCATCCTCCCGCTGCCCCAACAAGAAGATGGCCAGCGCGGCAAGGGAGGCCGTCCCAACATCCTGGGGGAAGCAGCCAGGGGTCAGCAAAGGGAGATGAGCGAGGCGAGCAACCACACACTGGAACACCAATGTATGCGTTCTGGAGCACGCTTGTTCTTGCACCACCACTTTTTTTCTGCCGCACCACTGTTCCTAGCGTCAGCAATGCTACGAAGCAAGTGCTCACGTCTGACTGCAACTTCTGGACTTCCTTCTCCACCGCCCCAGGGATCTCATCAGCTGCAAACAAGGAGCACCGCACTTTAGGCCACCGCAGGTTCAGTCGGCAGACCCACCACAAAACTGCCCATTGAAGAGTGTGCGAAACTTTGCGCAATTGGTCGCTCATACCCAGGCACTAGCCTGAGTAATGCAGATGAGGAGGACACTGTGTGAAACGTGCACCCACATCCACGAACATCGGATGGCATAGAGCATGAAGTCTCACCAGACAACGGCCGGGGTGCCTTTTGTTGACTTCCCGTTGCTGCTTGAGCTCTCTCCACGACAGTCGCCATTGCCCCACACAGGACTTTGAAATTGAAATGATCACATGTACCGGAGTTCCCTATCCAGCACGTCGCGGGCCGCTCATGGCAGCTCTGTACATGTCCGGCCAGCCTCGGCCCTGGGCCTGGGCCTTGCAGGCTCAGGCCTAGGGGCCAGGGCACCCTGGCCCTACTAGGCCCAGCCTCGAGCTGGCGGGCCGCGCGCGTAATTTTGACGATGACCATCAAAGTGGGGGGTACGTACCGCGTACTATTGAGTCGACTCACCTAGCAATGCTGAAGGTGCAATGCGGCGCTTTGCGCCCAGGGCCAGGGACAGCGCTGCAAGCCTGCCAGCGTGGCAATTAACACGTGCTCGTCGAGTACTAACGAGTACTGGCTGCAGATCCCTACACAGCCTACGGTCGTACTCTAGACGTCATAGCACTTGGCCCGGCCCCTTGCAAGATGAGCGCCAGGACGCATTCAAAGCGGGCGTGCCCCTATAAGACCCCTTTCCTCAAGAGAAGATTGTGCCCGGGGATTCGGGGCTTAGCATAGTGGCAGAGTGCAGTCCCGCATATCATAAAGTCACGGCTTCGATTCTCGGTAAAACGGGCTTCTTTTGCGTCCTTTTTGGTTCTCCGCAGAGCGGCGCACACAGATTCACAGTGCTTTCCCTCGAGGTGAACTTGTTATGGACTGGAATTGAAACTCTTGGACTTAGGGAGTTCCAAGATGTACGACCCGGAGACTCCGGCGCTTTGCGGCGCAGGTCTCAAGAATTTCACAGCAACATGGTGTTCAGCCGTGGTTCTCCGCCCGGACTTGGTCTTGAGTACAAGCTGCCGTACGGCGTTGCTTGAAATTTTCAACCGGTCGCTCGATTTGAAGTTCACGGTGATGCCGTCGATTCGCTTCCACCGTCCTTACATCTACGGTCAAACTTTGACGGAACGTCACCGACGGCTGCCGGTAATCACTTGCGTCCGACTGATTACGCGTAATGGAACGCCCCTTTCAATGAGCAGGACGGAATGCAGAGATATTGACGAG